ATAAATGTTTATTGGCTTAGAGGAAACATTATTATATGGAACTGTAATCCATGCTCCTGTATATAATACTACAATAAAATCATGAAAATTAGTCTAATCAAGCATAAATAGCTAATAAATTCATTAGTACATAGCTAGCTATAGACACATAACATGAACTAAAATAATGACTAGCTTTTCATGGGAAAAACTGAAGTCCAAAAATCCTTGTATATAAGGTACTTTATTTTAATATCATTACATGTGTTAATAAAATATTCCATTGATCATAGATAAATAATGTTTTACTATCAGTAATTATAGAACTGGAGTAGTGCATTGGTATGTGCAGTTTTATTGATTCTCTTACCAAATATGGTAAAAAAACAAAATCTGTAAATGATCAAGTTTTTCTGTCTAAGTTACTAGGCAATGCAAAAGTAAAATTGGTAAAATTGTTAGAAGTACTGTGGATTAGTTTTATATCAAAATTAGAGTGCATATTGATATGCACAAGACAAAAAAAAATGATTCTCTATAGCATCTATTGAAGAGGACCATAAAATGGTATAGATCAAACATTATATGACTGATTAATATCATTAACATTTAAAAGACATTTGATTGTCCACAAAAATTAGGGTATAATAATGACTCCTCTTGAATTTATCAAGAATAAAAATCAAGTTCTTACCCAGTGAACACAAATGTTTCATTAATAAGGTTACTCACCTTGAAAGAGAAATAAGAAAAATTAGAAGGGTAGCAATAATAAAATATTATTAAAATGCTTAATAAGGATATAACTGTTTTTTTATTTACTTTGTTGTGTGGGAGACATTTTTGTAATGTTTAACTTTTTCCAATACAGCTCAGATGTTTTAGGTGTTGAAACAATGCAAAAATTTGATACAGTTGAAGTGGTTTAGATTCAGCATGTGTCGTTAATCATCAGTATTAAGTTGCTATCATTTACAATGTGCTTTTTTTTTTTTTTTGAGTGACTCATTTCTTGCTGAAAATCCAAATCATTTTTCAGTAGTATGGTCATTAGCTTCATTGCCATCAAACACTATACCTATTCTATAGTCTACTTCTACTACCTGCTGATAAACAGATCCTGTATAACAGATGAAATGTATCAAATTCAAAGTCTTGGGTTTCATCAATGAAAGCATTCCTCTGCTGTAAGGGTTCTTATGAAACATATACACTTCATGATAAACAATCTTTGTTACTTTGTTACTTCTGACTCAAGAAGTTGATTAGATACATTTAAATACTAAAATGATTTATAAAAGTAGCAACTTTTTAAATAAACACTGTATTTTATGCACAATAAAAATACTAAAATAAAGTTAAAATTATAACTTATTTTTCATTTTCTGAACACAAAGGATTTAAAGATTCAGCCTTCATGACTGAGCTGTAATGATAAATGGCCTATAATACTAGGCAATCATTGGCAGGACTTCCATAACTGTCTTTTTTCTTTTTAAGCAAATAAAAAGGATATGACTAAAGTCAAACATATTTGTAAATTTCAACACTGAAATGATCTATTTCATACTGACTCACTAAAAGGAAAACACATATATATATATATATATATATATATATATATATATATAAATTAATTATCCTCATAGGTCAGTAATTAATTTTAAAATAGTTTATTCTTTTGCCATGAAAGTGACAAGTACATTTATTTTATTTATTGTGTTCATTATTGGTAGGTTTGCACATTGCCTAAAGACTCTATAAATATGGTCCTGTACACAAGTTGCTTTAGTTTGGCTTGCAAAACTCTACAGCAAGTTCTCAACTTCACTTGCCATTTGCAATTGTACATACACACAAAATATACACTTACAGAGGGTTTTTTCTTTACTTTTTATAATTTTCATATGGATATGTATATTTACACACATTGTACAAACTTTTAAATTGTAAATGTTCTTAAAAAAAACCCGTCATCTGACTTGATCAGAGATCTTATGAATTAAGACAAACCAATCCATAAATTATAAAGATTGAAAACTGTTTGATACAAGAAATTTACTGTTCTTATGAAGAAAAGGAAAAACAAATAAGTTAACATTAATTTGATACTTAAGACAATTAGGCTCGTAAATTCTTATTCAGATTGACAGTTTGTGACAGTTTGCTTTATTTTTTTCTACTAGCTATTCATTTCAGAATTTGATGCTTCAGCCACATGATTATCAGTAATGAAATGGATTGAGAAAGAGATTGCACACTAGCTCAACTAAGAGGTGAAAAGAGTAAACGGAGTCTTTCCATTACAACTGGTGGTGCATTTGTAGTATGCCAACAGTGCTGATCTGATATGGAACAGATAAAGTCTGCCCTCCTTGAGGCATTTGCAACAGACTCATTTGTAGCCTCCAAATGGTTTAATATATGACACTTATGCAAAGGTGAGATGACGGATGTGTATCTAGCAAAGTTGTGCAAGTTATCCCAGTTATTTGGCAACATTCTGGAGCAAGTTATATGCACATTCGTGGATGAATTGGCAATTTATGATAAACAGCTCCTTTTCACATCTTCCCACATGGAGACAATGGTGCTAGTCTAAATACTAACTCAGGCCAGGGTGATCATGAAATACAAAACTTCAGCATATAAACTGATTGCAGATGCCACACAATATTTTGGAGTATCATGCTACACAGAGAATCTCCCAGGAAAAATCAGCTATCATAATCAGAGAAATTGAAACAATTGTAATGCTATCAGTGTGACTAATTAGGTCACTAGGCCCAGAATTGCTTGGGAAATGGATGAGGAAACAAGACATCAATGCTAGTATATCATCAAAAAGATTGATATAGTACTACCCATAATAGAGGTGCATGTTGATGAAGTAGTGCACAGCATTGGTAGACACTAGCTGCTCTTATATGCTCATCAGCAGGCCAGTTTGTCATCTTTGAAGGAAAAAGGAGGTTAACATGCCATAACCATATCATGCAAGTGGACAGATGGTCAGTTGTCAAAAGATACTGGAATATTTAGTTTCTAAAAATATTAGGGAAGATTACAACAGTTGTAGTTAGATAATAGATGGCTACTACCATAGCTTGAGAAAGAGCTTGGCCCACTCAATGGGCTGTTTCCATTAATCGCAAAATCCCACTATTATCATATAACAATGACAGTTTCCTGTGTGTGGTTGGTTCCATGTAGTCACAACATTCATCAAACAGATTGAATACAATTATATCAGGAAGGGATGATGTAACAGATGATCCCCATATGAGGACCATGTTGGAAGATACCATCATGAGGATACACAAAAGCAACCTAGTGAAAGGTGCCTGGTGTTTGAATGTCACTGAGAGGCCAACAGATCTGTTATTGAGGATACATGCTGGTTGCATCCAGTGAATGACACTCAGCACACCAACCTAGCTGAGTTGGATACAGTGCCAAAGGGCATTAATCTTGCTCTCCAATGCAAGCACTTGGTAACTGATTTTGTTTGCGTGCATGCTCTAACTGCTCAGGCCAGGTTGTATACTAAACCTGCAAGTGAAATGCTCTTAAGACAATGGCTCAACACATCAGTAAAGCTCTTTAAGTTGAGACTAAGTAAGTGTCCAATTGGTCAAGTCTGATCACATTTGTGTGGAAAAGTGACTAGAGTCCTACAGTGTTGGCCTGACAACATCAAGAAGCAAGGTGAACCTTTGAAGCAATTGTGTACTGCCTGTATAGAAGTGTTAACTCTTAGCCAGATAATAGCCATTCACCACCAGAATGGTTATCCCAAAGTGAGGCAGATGTGTACCAGGCTATCCCATCTCTGTCAAAAAGTGTAAACTGTGTCAATCTGTTTGTGCTTGGCTTCTATTTGCATACCTGCCATCAGGAAATAGCATAGTAGAGAGATACTACTAGAGTGTGAATAGGATCACAGCCAGGAAGCAATGTCTTGTAATGAAAGTAGCATACTGGTACAATGTGATGCCAAAGAACAATGTTTTAAGTGCAACTGCACCAGTTTTTTGTTATAAATGCATCAGCCAATGTTATCTAGACATACTGAGTCTAAATAAAAGGAGTTGACATACTTCCACCCAATAGTGAGGAGATACATGGACTATATGATGTTGAAGTGAATGTTGGGTGAAGCTACCCAATAGCTAGTGTGCTACCAGTTTCAAAAATGATGTGTCACAGGTGTAATCCAGTAAGCACTCAGTACTGATCAGTGGGACCCTGGATCACATAAAAGATCTCTGTCTTACTTTCAGAGTAACTTCATCAACGGACAACAGTGATGAGTCTTCCAGCAGTGAGGTGCTGCTCCAGTGTAAGTCATGCTGATGACCTACCCACTAGCATTAGCATCTCAGACACATCAAAAGAGGCCACAATAAAGCAGTCTTTCTTGGAATCAGACTGTCCCAGGTATCTTTGTGTTCAGGAGAAATCTACTTACCTTCAAAAAAGCTGGGAGCATGTACATTTATAACAGAAAACAGTTGATGGAATAGCCTAGGTGTGCTGCTTATGGGGTTAATGGAATAATGTGGTGCCTATGGATTAGTATACCAGCCTTCAAATGCATATAAAATTAATGGCAGGGAACAAGATGGCAGCAAGCAAACTGACTCCTGGGAGAGTGGACATCCAACTCTGTGAATTTGCGACAGTTTGCTCTGTGTTTTCTACAAGATGTTTAGAAGAGTTTGACAAAAAGATGTATAAGTAAAATTTGATTGATTCATTTTCTATGGCTTATTAACCCTTTGCAAGTTATTTAAAGCCAGAAAATATTTTTAGACTGAAAATAATTTTTTTTGAGAGAATGATTTAATGATACAAGGCTTACTAATTAACGCATAGCTGAGGGGGAAAAGAGGTGGATTCATACCTTTTCCAAGGGCTGTTGTGTGCAAGTGAATATAACAAAACCAACTAGAATTGGAACTTGGCTCTCTGATTAACAATTCTAAGCCATTATCCCTTACACCAACTGCACATCCAAGCTTACAGAACCTGGTATTCCCAAGTGGTCACCCATCTAGGTACTGACCAGGCTCAACATTGTTTAACTTGGGTGATTGTATGGGAACAAGTGTTTCACTGTGATGTAGCTGCAACCTCTCCACATTTGAATGAAATATATGCTTGATAATATAAAAAAAACAAGCTGGTATAAAAAATAATTTCTTGGTATTATAAGGAAAAATTAAGTCTGATTAAGTCTTTAATTTAAATTTTTCAGTGACACAGTTAAAACTGAAAAATAATACGAAGTAAACCCTTTTTACAGTACTGGGACCCAGATACTCTGAGGTGATAGGAAAGATAGTGGAAAAGATAGAATGTTTTTGAAGGTAACAGGTTCTATGCCTTTTGAGATTGAAGAGTAGAATTCTCTAATATATCTTAGACATCCATTTTTTTATAGGTGGCATTATGGTTAAGAATAGAAAATATTGCTGAAGCTTTGTCACTAGAGATGTACAGTTAACATTAATATAAGAAATGGCTGAATTTGCAAAGTGAAAAAAAATGTGCTTATTCCTCAAATTTAAATTGACTAAGGAAACTGAAATCAGGCCAAAGTTTGAACAGAAAATTAAACAGGAAACAAGGAACAGTGAAGGAAGCTGAGGAGGAAAGATATGGTTGGGATGCTTGGGTGTGAAAAGGAATGAAATATAGAAGAGATGATGAAAAAGAAATGGAATTAGTATTTCTTATACCATTCTAGAATTGATTTAGTATAAAACTTATTCTAAAATACACACTTTCCCAACTACTCAGAATTCTACCAGAATCTACAGCCCTTTACCCTCCAATCAATTAAAATACTCATCTATCTGTTTATATATTGCTTTTGTGCTGGCCCTTCAGCAATGATGGCTTCACCATAAAAAATAAAATTATGGTCTTCTGGGTCATGGTCCTCTTCACCCTTCTGTACACTTGCAAGACATGGACCTTGTATCATCAAGACATATCAAACATCTGGAGCAGCTCCAGCAAATGAAGCTCTGAAGAATCCACACATCACTTGGGAGGACCTCATCAACAACAATGAAGTCCTCTCCCGGACGTTTTACCCCAGCATCGAGGCTACCATCCTTCAAACATCACCCCCACTTGGCGAGTCACATGTCCAAAATGCATCCCACTCAACTTCCATGTATCATCATGTTTGGACAACTCACCAGCAGCAAGAGGCTACATGGAAGCCCAAAATGACCTTTCAAGGATCACTTGAAGACATCTCTGACGCAGTCCAACATCGACCAGAAACCTGGCAAATCATTGCCACAAATCAGCCTTCCTGACATAGTACCATCTGGGAGGGGAAACGAGACCTTCGAGTCCAACTGTCAACATGCTGTCAGGAGGGCCCAATTTATCCAATCACATTCACCACCCACAATCCTCTGTGACTCCTGCTCATGACTCTTCAGTAGTAGGCTGGGGCTTCACAACTACACCATTAATTAAGAGATTCAAGCAGGTGCTAACAATGACAATCTGCTGATAGTCATAAAATAACAAAAAAATATAGAGTACTCTTTAGAATTCAAAATCCATAGCCAAACTAAATGAACAAAAGTGTTTTTTATAATAAATATTTCAAAATTTTAATATTCATAATTTCTTTCTTTTAACAAATTTAGAACAAAAGGGCCAAATCTTTGTTAGTTTGTTACAATTTATAGAGTAGTGACAAAAGTCATAAACAATTTTTTAAAAATATTTAACAACTGAGTATGAAATCTGCTGGAAATGATAAAATTTATTTATTAACTAAATAAAAAAAATAAGAAAAACGAAAAGAAAGCCAATGTAAGGTTGGGCCAATGAGCCTGTAGCTTGATAAAGTTAGGAGTTGAATTTTGATCTGAAATTTTCACTGTACAATATTTGATCTATGAACCAATCAATCAAGTAAAAAAAAAACATGTTTCATTTCTTTTAGTTTTCATGGTTTACTCAACTGAATGTACATAATTCCTCTTTTCTTTGAACACCATTCCATTTATTTATTACTTGTCCTAAAACTCAATTTTACATTTTTTATTTAGTTATTTCACATGAGTTATTATAATGTTTCTATTACTACCCCCATCAGTGCCTGAAGATTGCATTTAAGTGTGAAACAGACTGCTATCACAGCTGGGTGTTGACCAGAGTGCTCACTTTTATATTTATTTATGCTTTATCCCTGATATTGAGCACTTTAACCCATAAATATAGCATACCTTAAAACTATAGGTCTGATAAATTGGATTGTGATTCCAATGTAATAATTATAACCATAGAATATTAATGTTTGAGCCTTTTATATATATATATATATATATATATATATATATATATATATATATATATATATATATATATAGCTATGGGTAAATAGCAGGACAGACTGGGTTCTATAGCCTTGGATGGCAACTGGTCTAAGAGAAGGACAACTCTGAATTCAAAACCTGGAGGGTCGTTTGGGAACCTTGTGGCATTCGGTGCACCAGGTCCCTGTATTTGTCCCTTCAAAAAGTGTGGATGGTCCTGCACCACTATAATCAAATCTTATGTGACGGTGTCGGGCTGTCGGTTTCCTGGAAACTGATCTGCTTGACCCTCATACGTCGAATGTCGACGGGAGAGTCGATTATTATTATTATTATTATTATTATTATTATTATTATATTTAGGACCATTTATTTGATTTCCAGGGAGAAGATATCTTCAGGTATTGACAAGAGTTTTATTTCACTAACATTCATGTTCCTAAATCTATTTTTTGTTTGATGTGAAAAGTCTCTGGATGACAGTCTGGTGACACTTATAACTCATGTCTTTCTTTCCTGAGTCAAGGGATCAGTTCAGGGGGAACCCTCTTCATGCTTTTGGTCTTTACATTAGTTTTGCTAACAGTAGCTGAATGGCAGTCAGGTTGCACCTGTTACATAGGTTAGTCAGTGAGTGAGGCACTAATCTAATGAACTTCACCCTCTTTATGCTGTTATCTCTAATATTAACTTTGTGAGCTGCCATAAATGACCTTGGTAATTGATAGTGGAGTGATTTCTCCATTGTCTTCTTCACAGTTGATTTTAATGTGAAGCAAACATGAGTTAACTGGCTCAAAAGTTCTACCCTTTGTTAGGTTTCATTTATCATCCTGTAAGGTTAATAACCACCTTTTTTCTTTTTTGTCTCCAGGGAAGTCAGGGAGCCAGTTTAGTTGCAGAAAATAGTCCATCAAAGGTCAGAACATTAAGTCAATGTGGCCAGTTAAAAAATATTAAAAAATGAAGAGGCTAAATATTAATATTCTTGAAGGGGAAACTAGGTGGGCAAATAATGGAGATTTTGTCAGCAATGGACACAGGCAGAGGGGGGTAGGATTAATAGTAGACCAATATATAAAGAAATGTGTTCTGGAATACTTTTGTGGAACACATTAAAAGAAGCCTCATTGCCATGAGATCATTCCCAGGAAAAAAAGATTAGGTAAAAAGGAATGGATGACAGATGAAATTCTTGACATGATGAAAAGGAGACAATAAATAATGTTAATATATGTCACAAAATATAGCATATTACACAAGGAAATTAAAACAAATGAAGGTAGGCAAAAGAGGAAACAATCAATGAAAAACATGCAGAAATAGAAAGAATGAGCATCACAGATAAGGCAGATATGTATAAAAGAATAAGAGAAATGATAGGAAAAAAATGTGCTCATAAACATGTTGCATAAAATAAAGAGGGAATGCTGATAATAGAGAGAGAAAAATAATTCAATGATGGAATAAATATGTCAGAGAACTATTCCACAACAAAAAGAGAAACCTGAAATACTAAAATCTGAAGTGACATTGTTCCTGTTCATTCTGGCCAGTGCCAAAGCATCAGGACCAGATGTGATTGTAATATAGATACTAATATAGATAATTTGGACATTGACAAAATAGAAATAAATGAAATATACCAGAAAAGCCAGGTGCAAATAAATGCAAGCTTCATTATACAACTCTGCTTCAGAGATTGACAAAGCTGATCACGGTGCTTCAGTCTACCATCTTCAAAACCCTTTAACTTAATGAAACATGTCATGCCTCTCCTTTCAGTTTGATTCTTGAACAGGTTTTCAGAAAAGACTGTGCTGTACCATCAATGAAGATGGAAGGATTTGTGAGAGATGGATTGCCTGGTACTGGTAGATAAGCTCAGTCTTCTTTATGTTGATAGTGAGTCCAAATGCTTTCACTGTTTCAGAAGAATGGCTTGAATGTCTTCTAGACTGTGTGCTAATAGAGTGGCAACATCTGCAAAAAAAAAATCACATACCAGCTGCAGACAAGTTTTCAATTGTGCTTTAAAACGTTGCTGATTGTATAGACCTCCACTCATTCACTTAAGTCAGAGAATGCTTTTTCAAGCATAGCAGAAAAGAAAAGTGCAAAGAGAAGAGGAGCAAGAATGCAACCTTGTTTTGTACCGCTGGAGACAAAAAAGGCATCCGATTGCTCACTTCCCAAACATACAAAAGCTTTCATTCCTTCGTGAAAGGAGATAATAATATGGAGCATTTTCTTGGAACACCTAATTTTGACAAAACTTTCCAAAGAACAGTTCAAGATACAATAATGAAAGTCTTTGTGAAGTTTACAAAAACAACAAATAGATCCTTGTTCTCATGCCTTTTCCTGAACCATGGACACAATCTTTTGTCTCTGGCAGAGACAAAAGATTGTATCCATGGTTCCTCTACTTGATTGAAAACCACACTGAGTCTCTGGTAATGCTGATTCTGAGACAAATTCATTAAGCCTATTTAGAATGATATGAGCAAGAATTTTGCCAGCAACCAAAAGAAGTAATATTCCTCTATGATTGTCACACTCACACCTGTTGCCTTTGCACTTATGCAAATGGACAATTGAAGTATCCTTATACTGCTGTGGCACTTCTCCCTTTTCTCACACAATGTTGAAAAATTCACAAATTTTGCGTGTCGAAAGATTGGTGCAACATTTGTATATTTCAGCTGGAATTACATCTTTGCTGGGTCTTTTTCCATTTGAAAGCTGTTTGACCTCGAAGGTTGAAGGGTTAGCAGAAAG